GAGAGAGAGAGAGAGAGAGAGAGAGAGAGAGACAGACAGACAAACAGACAGACAGAGACAGAGAGACAGAGAGACAGAGACAGAGACAGAGACAGAGACAGAATGACAGAGAAACAGACGTCAGAAAGAAACTTCAACAGTTCTGACGCAGACGTGAAATGACAATCACTGTTTACCCGAAACTGATCACTTCTGAAAAGCATAAACCTACCTGAAGAAATAGCGTTCTTTGACTTTTCAATATTTGATAAATCATTTCTTCCTTCAGTTATTGTATACACATCTTAAAGAGGTGTAGTCCGTGAAATGAAAGGATGATTTATATACCAATCTACGTCACCTGCTACGGAAACCTTGTAAATGAGAGCAACACGCACATCTACCGGAAGTTGCCACGAGAGCTGCAGTAATAGATGGGCAGTTCTTAAGACCGATGGTAGGCCAGACAAGAAAAAAATCAGACTTTTATGCCTCACAATTTATGTCACCACAGGTAAAGGAAAAATAACATTAAAATACAGCATCAGAAAGAGAGGATACAATATCATACACTTTTTGAGGAAGTCGAGACACTTTGGCTTTTAAGATCCTTTCTACAAAATAAAGGTTACCTTGGACGCAAAAAGGGACGATGGGCAAATCAATCATTGTTCTGTACGGAAGGGAACATGATCGTTCAGACTCTCTCCCACGACAACAGAGTTACTGAATCGATCAGTCTTAACAATTTGAAATATGTTTCAACACGGTGGAATCAGGCGTTCGTCAATTTTTGGGTATATGGAGTTATTTGCGTACTTTTACAGCGTGTCCATTTGCCTTACTTTTGATTAAAAAGTCTCCAGAGTAAAAGTCGAAATATTTGCGATTGAAAGAGGTGAGGATCGTCTGATGTTAGAGATAAAATTAGCGAGAAAATGGCTGCCACAGTTGGTGACTTCCAAAGCTTGAGCGTCCCTGAAAACTGCAAATTTACTTTTTTTCCCTCGTGCCTTCGATCAAGGTTTTTCAATAAAATTTTCACAGAAACATACAAAACGACATGTATTTTTAAATAGACTTAAAAGGTGGTGAAAAGTGAAAAACAATGGGCGAAATTCGCCCAAGTGAAAGAAATAAAATAATATCGGTTTCTTCGATTTCATCCATTTGACGAGCATCTGATTTCACCATGGCGCCACACAAATGTTAGCAGAGAGGGAAAGCAGGGCATCTATGCAGCGCTAATTCAACACTCAAAACTCTAATCCACACTTAAGCATACTCTTAAGCCAAATGGCATTTCTGTAACGTTTGATTCAGACATTTTTTCTGTTAATCATTTTCATTTTCGCTTCCAGGAAGTTGAGATTGTTTCAGAATGCTATCAAGTCTGCTGGAGTACCAATTTAGAATAGATTGTAAAGCCCTTACCGTTTGCTGATGAGAATTTGCCCGATTCAAAAGCTATACATGTTTCACATATCAATATAAAATATCTTTAAAATCATACAAAAGAACAGAAAATATTCGTCATAAGCAATATTCAATTTTGAAGGAAACTCAAATTCTAAAGAAAAATATAACGCATTAAATCAGTCCGTCCTATTTTCTTATATTCTCGTGTTACATGTTCGCATTATCGCTCTGGATTAGGGACAAAAAAGAAGCGTAGTTTATAAAATATATAATAAACACATTAGAACCTCTCGTAGTCACTATGTCTCGTCTTACAACGTTTAAATCATTCTCTCCGACAAAATCTGAACGACACAAGTAATTAGATATCCCATCCATTACCAGAACATTAGCATTTCAGGACGGAACGCCTTTACAATTG